GGGTGATTTATATAATGTCTAATTCTTTTTTTGTTTTTTTTTTTTTTGGTGGGGGTAAGGAGTACCTAATTTGTAAGGAATTATGGTAGGGACTCTGCAAGTACGAAGCAACTTATTATCTTATGGAAACCAAGTACATGTGCAAGAAAACTGAATACAGATATTTACCTTAAAATACTACGTACAGAGGAGATTGAAAGTACTTCAGCAGTTTGGGGTGGTCAGGGATGGTTTCAGTGGAGAAGATGAGATTTTTTAAGCTAGGACTTGAGGATTGGGCTCAGCAAGATGGGAGTCAGGTCAGGGATTGGGAAAAGGGCATTCTAGGTGGGAGGAATAGTATGTGATGTCACTTAGATGTACCAAGGTAAAAAGGCCAGAATGCATATGGTGTTCTGGATGCATGGAGTAGATAGACCTGGTTGAAGCAGGGAGTTCTTAACCTTCTTTTGTGTCCTGGATGCCTTTGGCAGTCTGCTGAAGCCTACGGACCCTTTCTCACAATAATATTTAAAATGCATAGAATAAAATTATAGGGTCATAAAGGAAAGCAATTATATTAAAATATAATTATCAATTTTTTAAAAAAAGTTCAAAGGCCTCAAATTTAAGAACCCCTGGTATAGGGGAATAGTAGGCAATAAGGCTGGAATGATAGGCTGGATCCATACCAAAACCATAGAGAACCTTGCTACGTTGAGTAATTCAGGCTTTTATTCCTCAGGTATTGTGTTGTGGAACCAGGTTTCCCTTACTCTGGCTGTCCAGCCTGTACGTCATTCAGGTCCTCCTTTTCCTCCTCCTCATCAAGTGTTTACTCTGTGAAGTTCTGGACCAAATGGCATTATATGGGATCCACGTGATCCATTCATTTATTTATTTATTTATTTTGAGGCTACTTAGATTTTACACAAATTTTTCTTGAAGAAAAATATACTTTGCTTAACACCTGGGAAGTCACTTAAACTTTCTGGGCTTCCATTTCCTCTTCTGTAAAGTGATAGGGTTTGTACCTCATGCATGGCCTCTTAGGACCCTTCAAGTTCTAAAATCTATGATCCTAGCCTGCAGAGGTTGTTCAAATGTAAGGAACAGCTTTCTCAAAATTAGAGCTATTCAGAAGTGAAATGGACAGTTTTGGTGGCTGGCTTTCTGTGTGCAACTGATGCCTGCAGATGTACTGCCTCAGGTGAGTATCGTGTCCTAGGGTCCCAAAAGCAAACTTGGTCAGGTGGTAAAGTAGAATGAAATACTAGATTCAGTCAGGAAACCTGAGTTTGGTGATTTCCAGCTCTTCTGTCTGGATGACTTGGTCTTGGACCAGTCCCTTCCCCATTCTGGGCTTTAGATTCTTTATTTGTGAAATGAGGAGGTTGAACTCAAAGATCATCCCTAAACTTCAAGATGTAACATTCTGTGATCCCCCAAGGTTGATTTCTTTCCTCTTCCTTATTTCTCTCCCTTTCTCTTTATGCACCTTCAGGCAATTTCAGGGCCACACAGATGGTGCCAGCTGTATAGATATTTCCCATGATGGCACCAAGTTGTGGACAGGTGGTTTAGATAACACAGTCCGATCCTGGGACCTGCGGGAAGGCAGACAGCTACAGCAACATGATTTTACTTCCCAGGTGAGTGTCAAAACCCACAGGCAGCTTACAAGGTTTACACTTTGTCTATACAAAGAGTTCTGTCTTTGGAACCTTCTTTCTCTTAAAAATTGTCTCTTATCTATGTTTGTGTGTTTATCATACATATTGTGTCCATTTTCTTCAGACTGATGATGTTACATACAGACTGAATCTAGCACTGATGACAGGTTGAATAGATTATGATCTGTGATCTCAGAAGAAGTGGATATTTCCTATACTGGAAAAGGTGGTGGGCTGGCCATTTGGTACAAATGGTAGTTAACAGGTAGAGAAGTTGTTTGGTCTACTGGTACCTGGAAAAGGTAGATAGAGCTGGTGATCATAGATTTACTGAAACAGTATACACGCATACATATACATATACACACATACATTAAACTTCATGCATGTGACATCATCATTACTAGGAAATTGTAAATGTATATATAGAAAACATGTACAAATATGTGTATATCAAACTGTCGAGTACCAGTGGAACACTTGGCCTGGACCTATGCCTGTGTTAATATTTCCTTCTCACCATATGACCATTCTACTCCCATTCACACATTTCCTTGAAGATAGCTTTCCCTTTGATCACTTCTTGAATATAGGTCATCCTTGGAAGTATGGTGCAGCCTACTTGTGCCCAGGTTTTCATCTCTTCTTTGACTTGTACACGCTTGTAATTTGGCTCAGATATTGTAGTGTTCCCCATATATATAAAACTGTAACTAAAACTTATCCCCATTCCTTAAAGGTCAGGGCCAGTGGCTTATGAGCTTTTGTTTTCTCTATGCACATTACAGTGGGAAGCTCTTTGGAAATTAGGTTAAAATCTTGTTTCTGTTTCTGAATTTTACAGCTTTGGCTTCAGTGAGCCACTTTGATGGATGGGGAAGTCTCTTAACCCTCTTCCCTCTGCCACCATTCTTCCCATGTGTTGGCCTCTCTGCCCCTTGCAGTGGAAATAAAGGCAGATCCACCTTATGCTCCAAATTTAGGAAAACCAGACTAAGTAATAGCTTCCTTTTCTTCTTGAATATGATGTGGCTCTAAACCTGTCAAAGCATAATCTCAGCCAATTCTCATGATAAGGATTATCTTGGAAGGAGGATCTTAACCTAAAGATCTCATCACATCAACTAGAAAACTTAGGGGAGGGAGATGCTTTCCAGCCAGCCTTGTGCAAAATGTGAGAATGATCTTTGGCAAGTGGTGGCTGTTTCGGGGTGAGGGACAGGAGTAACAGGGATTCCAGATATAAGGTGTTGTTTGAAAATAAGATTGGAGGTGTTTGTGGGCCCTATGGTGAAAGGGGACTCCTTGTGACCTAGTTGGGGGCTGACAGACTCACTCATATTCAATGTTGAAACCCTTTTTGTTCCCTTTTTTTTTCCTTTTAAAAGATCTTTTCTTTAGGCTACTGCCCCACTGGGGAGTGGCTGGCTGTGGGCATGGAGAGCAGCAATGTGGAAGTGTTGCATCACACCAAACCAGATAAATACCAGCTGCACCTGCATGAGAGCTGTGTGCTCTCCTTGAAATTTGCCTACTGTGGTAAGAAATAGGGGGGGTGGGGTGTCACTTAGTCATTCCTTCTCCACCCCCCAAATGCTCTTGAGGTTCTTTTACTGGCATTTTTTTCTTATGACCCACCAGACCTACCCTAGAAAGGAGAAGACTTTCTTTGCCAAGTGTTGGCTCTTTGGCTTAGCTAAGAGACCTTGAAAAAAGGAATGACATTAACCAAACCATTGGCTTGATTTGATTTGTGTGACTAAATCATCTTGGTTTAGTTAAGAGAGCACTACTAGAATTAGAGCCAGAAGATCTGAGTTCAAATCCCAGCTCTGCCACTTATATTTGTGCGACTTTGGGCACCTCAGTTTCTTTATCTAGGAAATACTGGCCTCTGAGGTCCCTTCTTACTCTTAATACTTTAATCTATAAAGTCAAGTGCATGAAGACCTAGGCTGCCTCCTGTTTTGAAAGTGTGCATACATGTGTTTGTTTACACACGCTCATGGGTATGTGTAATCATAACACATCCTTGGAAACTCAGGGAAATGCAAACTAAAAAAAGGAAAAGGCACAAATTAAAAACAAACAGAAGAAAAGGAAACAAAACATTAAGAAGGAGACACAAGTAGTAATTTGTTACTACCTTGTATTTAATTTATACTTTTTGCAAATGATGCAAAAGAAATTGAGTATTTCTTGTATAATCCTTTTTTGTTCTTTATAAAATATTGGCATGTTTGTGTTTAATTTCATAATAAAAATTTTTAAAAACTGGAGTAACCTTCGTAGAGGAATCCTTGTTGTTCTTCCTTCCTTCTTCAAGAAGAACAGTGGCATCACAAGGGTGATGATAGCAACAACTACAAACAATAGAGAAATCCTAGTGTTTTACAGTCAGAAAAGTTCTTAGAGATTCTGCCATTTAACAGATCAACTAAGGCCTAGAAAGAGGGGGTGTCCTTTGGGGTAAGAGGTAACAGATCACTAAGCTGCAGAGCTAAGACTAGAAACAGCAGCCCCCCAGTTCACTGTCAAGGTCAGTGATCTCCTTACCACACTACAGTTTCTCTCCTAGGAATAGGAAGTAAGTTTGGTGGATGTTGTAGGCCAGGAGACTGATTGAAATAATTCCTTGCTTCCAACAGTCCCAGCTGGCTTTGTGGGAGGAGGAGGGTAATTCATACCTTCCCAGTTCGAACAGCAACCTGGTCCAGTCAATTTTGTTGATATTTAAAAACAAAAAACAAATTCATGAATATATTTGCCAGAAATCACTCTCCTTTCCCCAGCCTTCTCTTGTTGAAGGGAAGAATATATCTTCGTATCTCATTTTCTCATTTATATACCCTTGTGAAATACTTTGCATGGGTAGTTTCCTACACACTGGGTATTTGATCCCTCTGGAGCAGACATTGGGGAGGAGCAAGGTGTCTGGGTTTGCCTCTGAGGACAAAAGGCCACAAACTGACACTTCTCTCACTTTTTGTCACTTAGGCAAATGGTTCGTGAGCACTGGGAAAGACAATCTTCTCAATGCCTGGAGAACACCGTATGGTGCTAGCATATTCCAGGTATGGTTGCTCTCCTGCATCCTCATCCTACCTGTCAGCATGATGACAGCAGGGACAAAAAAGGGATCTGGGCTCAAGAGACGTAGTGCCATTGTGGGTGACATATATGTGTAGATATTTTGGAAGAGAGGAGCCCTGAATACATTTCCCTCTCCCCCCCCCCCAACTTTCTGCCTTTGGGTTTGTACTGACTTAGGGGACCTTAGATTAGACTTCCCAAAACTGTTTTGCTCTTGGCCAGAGGCCCCTGAAAGATTTTGAGAGCAAAGAAGCAGCTCAGTGTGCCCTTTAATTCTGCCCCATTTATCTGGGGCTATCCCTGAAATTTTCTTGGACAGGGGTTCTTAATTTTTGAGATGTCATGTACCTCTTTTGGCAGTGGTTAAAACTGTGGGCCTTTCTTAGAAAATATTTTTTTAAATATTCGTAATTGAAGGAAATAATAAATTTCAGTTATCAAAATATACATATTTTTCCCCTAACCAATTTCATAGTCCCCTGAAATCTCTCCACAGACCCCTTGCTCTAGAACAATACTAGGAAAGGTTCAAGTAGTTGACCATCTGTCATGGGCATGAAGAACATAACTTAAGACACTGGGTATGCCTTGGCCCCTTCAGAATCAAAGCAAAAACTGTTTTAGACAAGTTTGGTTTAAGATGAAGGCAGTCTTCTTATGTCTAACTTTTTTTTTTTTTAATGAAACTACTTGTTATAGAAAACCCAGGAAACCTCTCTCTAACTTTTGTTCTTGCCTTAATTTTAAAGATCATATTATTCCTAACTAATGAGCTAGTCCATTTCCTTATGAAAGGAGATAGAAGCTGTGTTTATGAGAAGCATTAACTGAACCTGGCTCTTCAGAGCATTATGTCTATTTCTGGGTAGATTTTTTAAAAAATTTACTCATATTACTGAATTTTTTTCAAATGGTAGAGATTGGAATTCCAGAGAGGCTTTTATCTTAATTCATATAGCATTGAAATTGAGCAACTGAGAAAATAGACTGTAATCTTCTGATTCCTCTACCTTCCCTCCCCCTCTTCTATCTCCTCCCTGCTAATCCTTGTTCTCCTTCTCCTTTCTCCAGTCTAAAGAATCCTCATCTGTCTTGAGTTGTGACATTTCAGCGGATGACAAATACATTGTAACAGGCTCTGGTGACAAGAAGGCCACAGTTTATGAGGTCATCTACTAAACAAGGATTCTAACAGGGCTGTCAAACTCTGGGAAAAACAGACCCCAGCTCTGACAATACAATGGGCAAGGACCCACTGAAGGATGTCGGCAGAAAGAAGCGTAGGCAGTCATGCATTCAGAGCCTTTTTCTCTGGCAAGCCGAGAGGGGATGTGCCACGTCACGGTCTGGGACTAATGTGCATGGATTGATACGTTTCAGCAACTTGGATAGATTTTTTTTTCCCCATCCTCCCCTCTTAAAAATCCTGGCAGATGATGCAAATGGATTTATTTGGATGTTTTCAGCTCTGGCACCCAAGGAAACCCTCACAAATCATGCCTTCTTTCACTTTCTTTTTATTCAGTTCTCATTTGTCTATGCTTCAGTGGCACTGTAGTGGATGGCCTTTTTTTTTTTTCCTCGAGGGGATGCTTTCCTCCCTCTCCCCAATTGTGCAGTGCACAAGACTTGTGAAAAATGTAAATAATGGACAAATAAATAAGACTGGACAAGAGGGAAAAGGAAGGGACTCCTTCCTACCGGGTACACTAGCTGTGTATTTTGTCTGCTGTAATTGTAATCCACTAATGGTGGTGGCTTTTTTTTTTTTTTTTTTTTTTAAAAGTTTCTTTCTGGGGGGGGGGGGGGGGGGGGGGCGTGGGAGCAAGGGGGTTGGGGGTGGGGAACCGGACCAGTCGGGGAGGAAAAAAAAAAGCCTTTTTGGACCCACAGCTGGTAACCAGATTGAACAAAAGGCATCCACTGGTCAGCATTGTTCCTCCTGTTGTACATGTGAATTGTTCAGTGTGTGAGTCAAATGTTTGAACACTGTATGGGCTGACAGGATGTGGGTCGGGATGCCAGCTACCAATAGAGCATCAGCAGAAACAATCCGATTTTCTATGGATTTGTTCTTTTTCTTTTTTTTTTCTTTCTTTTTGGATGTTTTGAAGATACTAGAAAGTCCCAGCAAACTCCTGCTCCAGCCCCTTTTAATCTTTGGACACAGCCTATAAAAGGAATAATCTCAAAGGAAGCATAGCAAACTCAGCTCAGGGAGCTACCAGAGAAAATAGCAACTAATGTGTGGTTTTTTCCTTTAATTTTTTTTTTTTGTATTTGAATAAAAATCAAGAATTAGAATGGATGGTCTTTTTAACGGCATCTTCTTACCCTCTCCCATCCACTTGTTCTTTCCTCTACTTCTCACAAGGGGGGTGGGGTGGGATTTATTGGCCTCTGGGGGTACATATGGAAGGGTTACTTTCCCTTTGGTCAAAATAGGCTCCTAGTAGTCAGTCACTTTTGTTACCGGCTCCTACAGATTGAAATTGGAAACAGCCTGATTCAGGCCTACTATTGCCACTTTTTATACCGAAAGGAGCTTTGGTGGTTTTTCATTTTTATTTTGATTTGTTTTTTTTTTGTTTTGTTTTGTTTTTTTAAAGATGAAGCTAATGGCCATTGTGAGTCGTTGTGTAGCAGACGGGCTCACCCAGTGATGTAGCATATGGAAGAGAATTTTTATACTACATTTTTATGGATTATTTTTTAATTTTTGATTCAGTCTGGTCAAAAGGAACTAGGGGGTGGGGTATGATGAAAACTACCTGTCTTAAAAGTTCTTTCTAGGGCAAAACATTCTATATATAATAAAAAGGATGAAGAGGTGGGTGTTATGGACCTTTCTCTGTTGGGGTAAGGGGGAGCTGTTCTTTCTGCGCCTCTCTGTATCCCAAATGTTTAGCCATTGCCTCTCACTATGGTATTTGCCATGAGGGAGGGAAGAAGATGGAAGGGACTTGACTCTTTAAAAAAAAAAGAAGAAGAAAAAATGAGAAGTAATTGTAATGAGCTGTTTTTATATTTTTAAAAGTCTAATATTTAAAGGTTTGTTTGATGTGTTTTAATTGACTTCTTTGTGTGCCAGTTAGTGCTTAAAACCAGAACGTTTGGGGGTGGGGAGGGGCATCTCAAGTTGCCTTCACACTGCATTATATTTTTTATACACATTGTCCACTCCAAGAAATCAACCTTTGTCATAAAGAGATCTCTGAATTTGGGTTCCATACGCTAATTCCCATGATACTTTGGAGGGGAGGAATGGAGGGTGAGAAGGATGGCTTTACTTGAAGTTAGGATTTAATTGTTTTCTTAGGGCAAAGAGTGTAGTTTCAAGTTCACATTATTAAAGTACCCATGGCTACTTAAATCCACACTTTGGACTTAACAACAGTCAGGAAAAGGTCTCATTTCCTTTGGAGAATCTGTCCATAAAAAACTGGTGTTGGCTGGATGTGGGGAGAGGTAGTGTGACTACAGTATAAGTATGTAGCAGATTGTGTGAGGCTGTTAATAACTCAACTGTATTGGGGGAGTTGGGTGTTCGTAGGTTAGAGGGAAGTTAAATGTAAATTTAACTTTAACCCAGTCTTCATTTCTTAAAAACCTACAAGTTGTTTAAAAACAAACCCTCGAGTTTGGGGAGTGGACCACCAACTTCGGCTTTGTCCTCAGCAAAGCAATTAAATAAACTTTCTAAAATTAAAAAAAAAAATCAACCCTCATGTCCTTAAAGGGGCAACTTCCTTCATTGATATAATGGGCAATAGCTTAAGAAGGAGCAATTTGGGAGAGAGTTGCTTATGAGAGACCAGATGTACTAGAAGGAAGAAGTGTTCACAGTCATGGTAACCAGTACTGTGTAAGTCTAAGCTGTGTGTGCCACGGGGGGCCTTACGGAAGAGGATCTGGGGCCAAAACAAGAAGGAAAGACAAACCAGACAAGACGAATGTAGAGAATAGTTGTTACCAAACTCAGGGGGACCTAGGCAGGATACAGCAATCCCTACTTGCTACCAACTTGCTTTGTGATTTTGAGCTAGTCATTTCCCTGAGTTTTATTTCCTTATCCATCAATAATCATGGAATCATAGATTTAGACCTAGAAGAGAACCTTAGAGACCATTATATCCAACCCTCCCATTTTAGAAGTGGAGAAACTGAGGTATAGAGCAATTAAATGACTTGCTCTGAATCCCACAGATACTAAATGCCTTACGGCAATATTCTGAATCCCACACCAGTGCTCTGGATAATGTGTCACCTAGCTGCCTCAGTTCCTGCCTGTTTACCTCAAATACTTGCAAACTTGAATAGGAGACCAAACTGCTACATGCATGTAAAGATTTGTTAGAGATTGCCTTTCACTGTGTCATCAGTGTGTGTTGAATCTAGAGTTAGAAACCCAAATTGGCTGAAAGAGGCCCTTTTACCTCTCAGAGAGAGGATTATGTCACTTCTAATCCTATTTAGTATCTTACTGGGTCAGGCAAAGATCATCCTAACTACTGATTGAAATAATTGGTGAAATGAGGAAGAACTCTCTCTCATTTATGCACACACGTATATAGATGTCGTATCTTATATATATATATATGATGTCTTATCTACGATGCCCGTCTCCATTCTACATAGTCTACATCTGTCTCTAATATATATTATATTAATGTCTAAATATATAAATATATAATATTAATGTAATATATGTCTATAAAATTTATGTCTTAACCTAAATCTTCTCTCCCCTTCCCTCTCTTTCCCTCCCCTCTTCTCCCCCTCCCCTCCCTTCCCTCCTCTCTTCTCTTCTCTCCTCTCCACATACACCCACGCACATATTCAAGCAAAGATCTAAAAGAGGATAAGATTGAATTATGACCAAGAAATCCAAAAAGGCAATGATTGTAAGCACCTACATCCAGCCCAAAGTTGCCAAAAAGTTGGCCAAAAGTCTGCAAGTGTTGAGAGTGATACTGCTAGAGAAACCAGAATGAGCACAGATAAACATGCAACGTTCTGATGGGGTAGTCCAGGGGGTAAGGGTCTTAACTCCATATTTCAATGTGAGGTTCCAGGTACTGAAAACCACCCTCTCAGTGATGTTCTAGAGGTGACAGAAAGTGATAGTGCTCTGTCCAAAAATTATATGGGGGCCTGGAATTAGCCAGCACTCTTATCATAGGTACACTAAGAGAAGTGGGAGTCAAGAGCAGGAGTCCAGGAAACAGAAGGGATCCGACAGGGCCTGCACCATCCAAAAGTGTGGGAGAGGGCGAAGTCAGTACTTGACACAAAGTCCCAAATGAGGAAATGGTCAGGGGACGCTGGAGGCAAATCCAGAAGAGAGTAATTCCATAACAAATATGAGCAGAGGCTTAGGGGGAAAAATTATCTAACCACAAGGATTCCAAGAGTGGCTAGGGAAAATAATGCAATAAAAAAAATGAAATTCTAAGTGAACAAGAGGTGGAGGAAAGAATTGGAAAGAGAATAAATAACTTGGAATAGGTAGTAGAAATTCTTACCCAAGTAGTGGACTCCCTGAAAATTAGAATGGAGCAAACAGTTCAGTGGCTCCAGGAGACAAGAAATATTAGAACAAACTCAAAAGAATTTTTTTTTTTTAAACAGAGGACTATGTAAGGTATTGACTCAAAAACAACCCATCTGGAAAACAGTTTAAGAAGAGAAAACTTAAGATTCATCAGCCTTCCCAAAAACCATGAAAGCAAAACAATTAGATACCATATTTGAAAAATCATAAATGAAAACTTTCCAAGGTCTATGGGAGGACAAAGTGAAAATGGCTTCTGTCAGTCACCTCAAAGATCATTCCCATTTAACAGAAGGTACAGATTAAAAGCCCCTCGGTGAGGTGGTACCGTCAGCAAGGCAATGATGGAAAGAAAGACATCTCATGAGTAGAAACTTACCTTGGATGAAGTTGGGTAACTATCTAACCTGTTGTAGTTGCCTGGAAGCACTTAAAGGTTAAGTGACTTCAAGTAATTTGGTGTGTCAGAAGCTGTACTTACACCAGATCTTTCTGATTTAATGGCCTGCCCCTTTGTCCACCAGGTTAGGCTTCTTCTGCCTCATAATAATTATAATAATACCTAACATTTATATAGTGCCTGCTTTAGGCCAAGCACATATGCTAAGTGCTTTATAATTATCTCATTTGATCCTTACAATAACCCTGTGAGGAAATATGTAATTTCCTATAGATTAGGAAACTGAGGCAAACAAATTAAGTGACTAGCCCAGGGTCACACAACTAGTGAGTGTGTAAGTCAAATTTGAACTCAGATCTTCCTGACTCCAAGGCCAGCTTGGAGTCTATCCACTGTGAGCCCTAAAGCATAACTAAATTAGAGACCATAGAGATAAATGCTAGGGTGAGGGTTTTCCCCCAGATCCTTCGGTACAAACTAGGGTTATTTTAAGGGGTGGCAATCCCCCCAACCCAACTACAGTATTTTTCTATATAGCTGTCAAGATCAGCCTTCAAGGGTTAAAACTTGACACTATCATCCTTCTCTCCCCACTCCTCTCACCAAGTTGGATTGGGGTTGTCTGAGGTGTTTTTGCCTATAGGGATCTTAAAGGGAGAAAAGAATCCATATCCACAAAAGCAATATGCAGCTCATATGGCCTACAGGAAGAAGGGAAGATGGGGAGGCATTGTCCATGTTCTCTCCAAGCGTAAGCACATCTTGGGTCTTATTTAGGACTAGTTCTAGTA